GACCCCACTGGTGCATGATCGGGGGTGGGGAGGGATGCCAGAGGTTGGCCAGCCAGGGACAGACTATGGGAAGGCTCCAGAATGTGTCTGGCCATTCTTGCTCAGTCCTAATAGGCCAGACCCCAGCAGCAAGCTAACATACCAGTCAGAGCATCTGCCTCTGGTAGTCAGTGCACATCATAGCAAGTGGTTGAGTGGCCTTAGCATATCATTAGCATATTATGCTTCGATTGGTTGAACATATGTCTGGACACTTAGCATATTAGGCTTTTATTATGCAGGATAAGCAAAAAAACATGAAATTTGAGTGTGATATATCTGATTAAAGTATAGATGCCTGTCCTAGCTGGTTTGGCTCAGTGGGTAGAGTGTCAGCCTGTGGACTGAAAGGCCCTGGTTTTGATTCCAGTCAAGGGCACATGCCTGGGTTGCGGGCTCTATACACAGTCTTAGCCTTGTATTAAGAGACATTTTTGAGAACAATGAAATAGAGAATCGATGGGTTATTACATGTGAAGTAAATGGAGAATGACATGTAGTGTGGACTCAGTTTTTCCTGTGATGTTGAAGCCGAAGCCATTTGTTCAGAGTCCCCAACTCTTTTAATTTTAGGAATGTGTGTGTTTCCTTCCTAGACTGTAAGTCCCTTGGGAAAAAGGAATGACTATATCTTACCCATTTTTATCATTTGTCTTCTATTATCAGACATAATTCCTTGTATATATTAGATGCTCAAACTTGGTAGAATATTTGAAAAAGAGAACAAAGAAAGATAAGTCCATGAGATAATTTTCACCATGAGATAATAGTGTACTAGATCTATTTGAATAGGTGATTATATAATCATAATTTTATTCTTCAATAAATTCAGTACAGAATTTCTTAAAATTCTATACATTTCTTATTTGTGTTTTAATGTTTATTTTATACTTCTAGTTTTTAGAACTAATTTAATTTATACTTACTGTGTTATCTATATTCAATTTTATTTTTTAAACATATTTTTATTGATTTCAGAGAGGAAGGGAGAGGGAGAGATAGAAACATCAATGATAAGAATCATTGATTGGCTATCTCCTGAACACCCACAACCTGGGCATGTGCCTTGACCAGGAATCAAACCGGGACCTCCTCCTGGTTCAAAGGTTAATGCTCAACCAATGAGCCATGCCGGCAGGGCATCTACAGTCAATATTAAAGGGCAGTTTTTTATGATCACTTCTTACAATCATATATAATAAAGAGGTAATATGCAAATTAGCCCTCATGCCCTAACAAGATGGCTGCCTACGACCAGGCCAGCTGGATGGTTCATGAGGTATGACCAAACAACTGAACAAGCAGGCTGTGTGGAGCCTCCAGGCTGGCAGGGGGAGTGGGGGCAGTTAGGTGAGCGATTAGGAGCCAATGATCTAGGATTGTGAGAGGGATGTCCAACTGCCATTTTAGGCCTGGACATCCCCCAACAGGTCTCGGATTGGAGAGAGTGCAGGCTGGACTGAGGAGACCCCCTTTCATGCATGAAATTTGTGCATTGGACCTCTAGTTCAAATATATAGAATTTTCAATAAGGTCCTATTTGGAGGAATGTGAATGTGTTTGGCATAGGTGAGTTGCATCCCAGTTTTTTAAATTACCTTTTTTTAAATGTATATTTAAAATCTATATAAGTTATGCACCATTTAGCTTTATATATATCTATTAGTACTAATAATTAAAACTAACATGAAAGACATTATGTGACTTGCACTATTCTAAGTAGTTTACACAATTTACTTTTTTCTTCATAACAACCCAATGAGGCTGAGCCTATTATTATTTTATAGATGAGGAAACAGGTACAGAGAGGTTAATTAATGTGCTCAAGGTCATAAAAGGAGGGTGTTCATGATATCAACCACCACTGCTAATACAGACATAGACAGAGATACAAATGTATATGCATTTACCACCTATTGCTTATGTGCCTGTTTTCTTTACCTTGAGCTCTTAAGGTCAAGGACACTGCCACTTGTCAATAAATGTTTTGTCAACAAATGAAGGAATGAGCTCAAATGAAGGAAGAAGCTCATTCCTACAGATTTTTGCTATTTCCTACAGATTTTTAAAATTATTTTCTTATTATTTTACAAGTAACACTTTCAGCTGTTATTTCAAGACTATTCCAGTATTATTTGGGTGGTTTGTTATGACATGTTATGACACTTTAAACCTTTACATTTAAGACGTCACTATTTTGCTGAGACAAAAATGAGCTCTTTCTGTCCTCCTGCCTAAAATAATAGCAGATTAAGTGTTTATAGGAGGCGAGTGTGTAACCCAGGATTTCTGAAGCAGCGGGTTTCAAATATTCTAGTCAAATCCTGCCTTTTGTCCGATTCTTGCTGATGAGTGTTACCATTAAGCTTTACTCTGGTATCCATTAGTCACCAAGTACTTATTTTGAGAATGGTTGCTATCATTACTTATTCCCTACAGAGGTGCCACCTAGTTACTTTTGTTTTGGCAATTATGGGTTAAATACATTCCTGGGGTTAGTCCTGCTGAAGTTTGCATTAATTTCAAATTAATGCATGGTAGATTATTTCTCAAAAGAGTAAAGCTTTGATTGAACAGAAAAAGCTCTTGTTTTTACTTTTCTTTTCCATTGATGAGAGCCTTCTTTTGCTGTTTAGCTATGCTTTTCAACCCCTGCCCTACAAAACTATATTATATTGTGGTTAATAATGACTAGTGATTAAAAATAATTTATGTTTTCTTTCTGAAATATTGGTCTCTTTTGAGATACCACTTGACTGTTCTTCACTGCTTTGCTATAATCTTTTTTTTAAACATATATTTTATTGATTTTTTTACAGAAAGGAAGAGAGAGGGATAGAGAGCCAGAAACGTTGATGAGAGAGAATCATCTATCAGCTGCCTCTTGCACACCCCCTACTGGGGATGTGCCCACAACCAAGGTACATGCCTTGACCGGAATCGAACCTGGGACCTTTCAGTCTGCAGGCCGACGCTCTATCCATTGAGCCAAACCGGTTTCAGCTGCTATCATCTTTTTAAGTACTTGCTACCAGTCCATGGAATTAATGTCAATCTAAACAATTGTTCTAGTAAAGAGTTTTAAAATTATAAATATTTTGTATAAGGCTCCTGTTTTTTGTTTGTTTGTTTGTTTTTTGCTATGGTTTCTTTAAATTCCAGTAATTACCTAACATAGGACTCTGTAAGGGATTAATAAATTTGAAAGTAATTGGTTAATAGAAGAAAACATGTTTTTAAGCTCCTTATTTTATATATCTATATTACTATTTCATATATCTATATTACTATTTTATATATCTATATTACCTTGCATGTTTCCATTCTAGAACTTTTCCACTTTGTGTCTAGAATGCCTTTCTCTATTAATAATGAGGATTAGAAGATGGAATTTCAGATTCATGAGCAAAAACAGTATCTATTGTAGAAGCTATATCTTAGGGACTGGTCAATAATAGGGCCTGACTGAAGTGGGATGAAAAAATGGGAAATGAGGAATAAAGATAGTGACTTTGGATACTTTTTTCAAGAGACATGATCGAAAAGAAAAAGCAGAGAAATGAGGGATGGCTGGAAACTTTAAATTATATAATAGATGAGCATATTTAAAAAAATAATTTTATTGATATCAGAGAAGAAGAGGGAGGGAGAGAGAGATAGAAACATCAATGATGAGAGAGAATCATCAATTGGCCAGGCTACAGGTGCACATTTTAGACTGGTGATGGAGAGATGAGGACTCACCTGATAGCTTCTACCTTCTCAATGACGGATGAGCAAAATGAAGTGTTTAGATTTGGGGGGGGGAGAAATGCTATTAAAGGTTTAAGGCAAGAAGAGAAGCTATAAAATAGTAATTTAGAAGAGTGGAAACTGGACTTTGTGAGAAATATCTGGTTTCCACATTGGTTCACTAGGGGAATATGTACTTCACTTCAGTTTCATCATTTTTAAAGTGAGAATAATATTATCTACTTCCAGGATTGTAGTTAAGAATTAGAGATGATATGTATAAATTACCAGCCCACAATTGGCGATTATTATTAATACTAAAAGTTATTCTTTTGTTCCAAGAATAAAAAAGCCTTGCTTCTACACTGTCTTTTTAATAGATAAGGTTAATTTCTGAAATTTTATTTTTAACAAGTACTTCTTTTTTCTTTCTTACAACTTTAATCCCCTATAAAGTTTCTAAGTTTCTTGTGCATTAGTTTGGTTGGAATATATCTTTCTGAATGATATTTCTAAAATTTTACATTATATAATGTTTTTAGGACCTTGATGTTATAATACCTGAGAAAGAATAGACTTCAAATAGAATATTTATTTTCTCATGAGACTTTATTCTTATTATGTAGACAAAATTATAGTTAATAATATTTTTTATAAATTTACATATCTTTATTGATTTCAGAGAGGAAGAGAGAGAAAGAGAGAGTCAGAAACATCTATGATGAGAGAGAATCATTGATCAGCTGCCTTCTGCAAGCCTCACACTGGGGATTGAGCCCACCACTCAGCCATGTGCCCTTGACCAAAATCAAACCCAGGACCCTTCAGTCCACAGGTTGATGCTTTATCCACTTGAGCCAAACCAGCTATGGCTTAATGATATATTTTTTAAAGTCCAAATAATAATATTGCAGAAAAAAACAATGAATAAAAAAGTTAATACATAACTTGAAAGGGATTTTTGAAAACTATCACAAATATTATCCATTTTCTCTTTGTCTACTAACATGTTTCTGAAGACTACAGTATTTTTTAATTAAGCATTATATCAATTTTAGTAACTAATACTAATCTCAATTTTAGTAATTAAGAAATGCTATTTATACAACCTTAGTGCTAACCTGATTTTATTTCCACAATAGACTAGCCATGTCCAAACTTGGTATTCTCTAAAAGAATATGGATACTATCAAATGAAAGATAAATATGAAATATTGACATAGGGGATTTTACTCAATATCTTCTTCCATGTTTGTCTGCTCTAGGGCATATATCTCTTTTTCAGGTAGTAATCCATATTCATTTAGGAAAGACTCCACATCCCCAGCAAAAAATTCTTCAGCAAACTGGTCAGCAACACTAATAAAATTGCTTATGAGTTCCCCACCCTTGTAAACGAGCAGTGTGGGGAGCACATCAGGGGAAAAGCGGTCCCCGGCACCTGTATTAGAAGCTTTTATCTTACAAAACCTGACTATCGGGTATTCGGCTGCCAGGCATGTCAGGCTCCTGTTTAGAGCATCACAGCCCTTAACGCCCTCTTCATAAATGTGAACCATGATTGTGGTGATTTTCTTCTCCTTTTTAATGGTCTCCAGGAATTGCTCCCCAGTTTCCAGCTCATACACAAACCCATATCTAGGCCCAAAGCTCAGTTTCTGGTGCATATCCTGCATACACTGTCTACGGTATTTGCGAAGGCAAGTTTCATCTTCTTTGTCTTGGTGAATTAGTTCATATTCTTGGATGCTCATCTGGGAATAAATAAAAAGAATTATAGAAACCATTCAGCCAGAAATTCAATTCTTTAGACACACCAAACACAGCCTTGCTCAAAGAGTTTGCATTTGCTATCCCCCGTCACCCCCAAAGTGACCTCCTCCTTGACCTCATTCAAGCTTGTTCAAATGTCACCTTCTTTGATTCCTCTACCTAAAAGAATCCCTGCCCCAAGCTTTCTATTCTATATGTGGGTTTAGTTTTCCTTCATAGCAATAAACACTCCCTGATATTGAATTAAATATTTACTTATTGAAGTGTTTAATATTAATAATTGTTTTTCTAGCTGATACATTCTGTGAGGGCAGGAATTTTACTTGTTTCACTCACTACTCTTAAATATTGGCTATAATGTCTGACACAAAGTAGGGGTTCGGGAATTATTTCATGACAGAAATGCATACATAAGAATTGCTGAGTATAAATGATCACAGTCTCAGTCAGAAATGTGCCACTTAGCTGCCCCTCACTTCAGGTGAGAACAAAAATTCACATACAAACCAGCAGGGTCTACTCTGAAGTGACTTTCATAAAACCACGCATACGCGCACACACACACATACACACTTAAATATGTCCTCAACAAATGCCTTTGGACATTAGTGTCTTCTCTGCGAAAGTTGTTAAAAAGGTCATATCTTATCACTGACTGTTTTTTTTTATATCTAGACTAAGATCCAAGACAGCTTTACAACTATTTGGAGTTCATCAGATTAGCCAGGAGGTTCTTGCTCTACCAGCCTCAGCATCACCTGAGAAGTGCTGGGAAATGCAAATTTTTGGGCACCACCCCAGATCTATCAAATCAGAACCTGTAAGAGTGAGACTGGGTGAGCCTTACTAAAACAAGCCCTCTAGGCAATTCTTATCCACTGGTTTAGACTAAAGCAAGAAATGGCCTTTCATCTTCCAACACAGCTACTAATCACTACAGATAGAATATAAAATTATTTGCAGAACCTTTCTTAAGAACTACACATTATCAACTCATTCAACAGAATGTTAAACCCCTCCCCCCCCAACCACTTTTTTTTTTTTTTTTTTTTTTTTTTTTTAATAAGGAGGAGGAAGTAGAAGAAGAAAGGTACAAAGGAGCAATACAGGGTCTAAAGAGCTGTGGAGCAGCCCAGAACCATGGAAGGTGGGCATTTCCCAAGGGGATCAATCAGCCTTCTCATCAGCATCCTCTCAAACAGCAACTGCTGACAGTATATCAAGTAGACAGTTGAGAAGACAAGAAAGAGGATTTAAGAAAAATCTTTATCTTAAACAACTTATATAGATTATTTTACTTAATCCTCACAACAAACCTATGAGGTAACGGTTAATATATCATTTTACAGAAGATACTAAGGTTCAGGTTAAGTAAAAGTATCTGATGCTTTCATACATCCTCTTGTTTCTGCCTCTTATATTTGTTTTACAAATACCCTCATTTTTTTTTCTCATATTTTTTCTGCTTTAAGATTATTGTTCCAATTTAATTTGTTTAAAAATATATTTTTATATATTTCTGAGAGGAAAGGAAAGAGAGAGATAGAAACATCAGTGATGAGGGAGAATCATTGATTGGCTGTCTCCACATCCCACACTGGAGATTGAGCCCACAACCCGGGCATATGCCCTGACTGGGAATCGAACTGTTACCTCCTAGTTCATAGGTTGACGCTCAACCACTGAGCCACGCTGGCAGGACTAATTTGTTCTAAACCTAAATATTGTTAAATATGTTGTATAATTTTGAAGTTTCTACTATAATTATGTTAATTTAAACAGACTAAACTACACACTGACTGAAACATTTGAGCATTTTTACGAGAACTTGTTCTATTCACATATTCAAGCATAGAAATACTTAATGATTAGATACATTGCTAAAGCTTAACCTTAGTACAGCTTTAACAAAGATAATGTCTCATGTTTGTGTAGCATTTTACATTTTTCAAAACACTTTTACACTTATTTTCTCTTCCCATCCTATAAAGCAAGTTCCTAAGATGGGAAAATTTAATTGTCTCACCCACATCACATAATGACTCAGGAAAGGAACCAAAACCAACATCTTAGACTTTTACAGCGGCCAGAAGCCTGGAAGCAAATATATTTCTGAAGCACTGTCTGTTGAGAATCAATATACAACAACTGAAATATACTAGTTTGGAGAGAATCCACTTTATGGTTTATTTTATTAATATTGTTGTTGCCCGGCAGGCGTGGCTCAGTAGTTAAGCATCAACCTGTGAACCAGGAGCTCGCGGTTCGATTCCTGGTCGGGTACATGACTGAGTTGTAGGCTCCATCCCCATTGTGGGTCATGCAGGAGGCAGCCCATCAATGACTCTCTCTCATCATTGACGTTTCTGTCTTTCTCTCCCTCCCCTTTCCTCTCTAAAAACCCACAAAAATAAATGGAAAATATTGTTGTTGTTATATAAATTAATACATACTAATTATAAAGATTCAAAAATAAACCATACCCTAAAGGCAGAAAGTAATGTCACGACTCTGATACTCTGCGATAATCTCCATTAACATCATAGAGATCATCTTCCAACGTATCTCTTCATGCACATATAGACATACACCTTATATAACAAGTATATAAGTAAGCTTCAAAACACAGTGCTGTAAAAAACCATGACTCATGTTTACACATTGTAAATTATTTATTGATTTTTCCTTAGCTTACCTTTCTGCTGAATCTTTCTTTTGAGTCTTTGTCATCCCTACTCTGAGGAGAAGACATTTGTCTGAGAATCTCCTTCTTGCTCGGTGGGACTGAGCCGTTATCTTCACTCTCTAATTTAAACTTTCTCCAATCGTGTATTACTCCTTTGGGTCCTGAAATACAATTACAAATCAATTGTTTCCCTTTTTATTTTCAAAAGGACTTTATACATTGACATTCGTGTGTCACCATGGGAATAGACTTGTCATGTTCTGGATCAGAAACAAACATCTTTTTTGGGCTAGACATTTCTGACTACCATCCTCATAAAAAATGTTTTCTCGACATTAATCCTGTTAAATAGGGTTTGGCGAAAAATCTTTCTGAAACATTTGCATTGATGAAAATGGAAATGATGGAGTTAGAACTATTGTCAAAATTTGGGGATAAATTTATAGTGTAAGGAGGAAACTAGAATTTTAGAGAAACAGCATTTTCATTACATAAGAGAGAGGAGGCTTCGGCAATAAACTAAAATGGGCACCACACCATAACAAAGGAAACTAGGGTTGTTGGAGAAACAAATTAAGACATATCAAGATCCAAAATAAAAATCGCATGTAAAAGAAAACCAGTGAGAGGAGGCCTAACCTCAATGAGCAAAACTAAGTGGCTTTTTAAAAAAAATCATTATATAATCTAATTCCTTCTAAGATTCTAAGAATCTTTTAAAGATATTAAAAGGGTAGGATTTGCATATTTAAATCAAGAGTGATCCAACTGGAATTCTGATGTTCAGTTGCCCTAATAAATAATAATAGTGTTTGGAAGAATGTCTAAATTCTTAAAAATATGCAGTTGTACATATTCTTCACTAAAGGTTAGCCATATCCATATCTTTAATGTTGTATTATATATGTAAACATTTTCTTTTTCCACATATTTTCAAAGAATTGTTATTTATATAATTTTAATATAAATTTTTTTATGCTGTGTGGGGGCAAAAATAGATTTACTGTTGTGGGGACATGAAACAGTGTATTCTTGTATTATTATTTATTAACTTGAGGCCCAGTACACGGATTCACACAGCAGTTGGGGGTCCCTCAGCCTGGCCTGCGGGGATCGGCCAAAACCTGCAGTCCTACATCCCGCAAGGGATGTAGTAGTGTGCAAAGCAGCAAGCATCTAGGGAGGAGCCAGAGTTTGGGCTGGACACTGCTGCTCCCTCTCGGTAATGCTGCTTTGGAGGCAGGAGAGGCTTATGCCACAGCTGTGCTCATCAGCCTTGAGCTCCAGCATCTGATGCCCATTGGTCAGCTGAGCGGCGCTTCTGCTGTGGGAGCACACAGGCCACCGGGGTGGGGGTGGGGGGGGCAGCTCCTGCATTGAGCACCTGCCCCCTAGTGGTCAGTGTGTGTCATAGCCACCGGTCAAACAGTTGATCTGTTGATTGGTTGACCAGTTGGTTAGGGTTTTATATATATAGACTAGAGGCCTGATGCACAAAATTCATGCAAGGATAGGCCTTCCTTCCCCTGGCTGCCGGTTTCATAGCCCCAGCTTCACAGCCCCGACTTCTGGAGCCCTGGCCCTGCTGCCTGCCCGCATCCACCTGCGCCTGCGACTACTGCCATCCGCCTCCCGCCCCAGTTTCCCAGAGCCCTCCAATCAATTGCTCCACAGAGGGTGGCCTGGCCTCCCTCTTTGAGGCGATCACAGAGCCCCCCGATTAATCACTCTGCTAGCTTGTGGCCTGGGCCTCCCTCTGCGGGACGATTGTGGGGCAATGGCAGGGCCCTCTGACCAACCACATTGCACTCGCCTTGGCTGGCCTCGTGCCAGTGCATGTCATAGCGTGGTTGTCCAGATGGTCATTTTGCTGTTTCGTCATTCAGTTGATTTGCATGTTACACTTTTATTATTATAGATTATTTTCCATATGAATAACTGTAAACCTACTTTTGCCCACCCTCGCATTCATTATATTTAGGCAATTAATGTTTTTTGTTTACTTGTATCATGGACGTCTTCCAGGTATGTTTTACATATATAAAATATGTACATTTATAGCATGTGTTTATATGTATATAAAAATCATTTTTCAACTTGTTTTAAAAAATGGTAGTATATTATACATAGTTTCCTAACCTTTCTTTCTTTCTTTCTTTTTTTTTTTTTTATCTCATAATGTATTTCAGAGATATTTTTCACATACATACATACATAGATGCTTCCTTTTTTAAAAAACTGGAGTAATGGTATTTCATTGTATATATATTAATTTACTTAAGCAGTTTTTTTGTTGCTTCCACATTTTTTTCTGATAGTCTTGTCAGGTTTTCCTGGAGGAATATTGATTTAAGAATGTTTTATCATTACCTTTATTTTTTACAGAGTAACAAATTAAAAAAACTTTATTTATTTATTTATCTTTTGATCTACTATTGTTTACAATTGCAAAGAAAGTCCATAGAGGGGTGTTTTAGGTGAGAGGATAGTACATAGGTCTTATGAGCGCTGGCAGCAAGAAATCCTCAACTAGTGTTTCAAAGTTCCCATTCCTTTACTTCTAAGTAAAATTTTTTTAAAGTTCTTGATCTCACATTAATGTACCCACTCAATTATTTTTAGATGATTCCATTAGACCACTCAAAAGTATAATAAATTCTTTTGAATAGTGGCAATAAGAACATTGGTGATCTTCAGGCTTAATTTTATTTTAATAATTAATTTTATTCCTATTGCTTTGCTTACCTGTATGTGTCGCCTGTCCTTCAAAGTCTTCTTCCAAACTTGGATTTTTGGCTTCTTCCATTTTAGAGATTAGATTTGATATAATCTATAGGATCAGCAAAGAAGTAATGATAGATCAGAAATAGATAGATAAATACATAAATATTCCCCTGCTGTCAGGTTCCCATGGAGGCTAAGGATTATCACTAAGTGATGAAGTGTTTAATATGTTTCTAACTGCTTGTAAAAGGACATTAATATTTGTATTATTAAAGATATTTGGACCTAAGGATTTTATGTAATTCATAGTTTGTCTTTTACTTAAGAAGCCTTCAATTTAGGTCTTTGTACTCAGTGAACATTTTTTTTTTTGCAGATTTTTTTTTTATTGATTTCAGAGAGGAAGGGAGAGGGAGATATAAACATCAATGATGAGAGAGAATCATTGATTGGCTGCCTCCTGCACTCCCCTTACCAGGGATTGAGCTCACAACCCAGGGCATGTGCCCTGACCGGGAATCGAACTGTGACATGCTGGTCCATAGGTGGACATCAACCACAAGCCACACCAGCCTGGTTCAGTGAACATTATTTATTATTGATTTTCTTTTTTTTATTAGTGTTTATTACCAAATTTGTAGAATTATATCCCAATATTTTATATAATAAAACATTTTAATTCATAATAATTATATACTTACTTACTATGAACATTTACTATGTACCAGGCATTGTTTCAGTTATGTTAAGTGTCAAAAATCATTTAATTCTCACACAGACATATGTGGCTGGGCTAGTTATTAATGTCACTTTACAACTGAGGAAGCTAAAGGATGGAATTTAAGTATGACAAATTCAACTTTCGAATTGGCATTAAAGAATGATGATCTAAGGTACAGTGCTATTCAAAACCTCACATCATAACATCCCTTCGTTCCAGAGCAAATTTTGGGGATGTTACCCACTAAGCCAGTGAAAACCAGTAATTATACCTATAAATTTTTAAAGACTGTAAGGTACATCACAAATCTAACAAAAGCACATGGAGTTTATTCACAGGAAATCCCTGGATGCCCTCATGTAGAATCTATTTATTCTTAGTTCACACTTAAATCCAACCTATTGCTTATTTATCTTTTCATTTTCTGGAAAACGCTGTTATACATTCCCAAGGGGCCCATATAGTTGTGATTTTCTTGAAATTTTCAAATCCTGGAAGATGTATATTAACAGCAGATACTAGTACACTGTTTTTTTCACCCTTATTTCCTCTACCTTTTCCCTTTGACTCTTTCAAAGTCAGTTTTAAGCTATGATCCCTCTCCAAAAGTATTTGGTTTATACTTCCTCTTTGGACTTGGTTTATTTGGTGCTTTCCCAAGGAACAGAATGGTAAACAGAACTCTTTGTCCCTATGCAGAAGCACTGGGGATACAAAAACTCCAAACCCAGTGAATTGATTACACTGAGGTCAGAGGTCTTTGCCAATTTAATTTTTTTTATTTGAATAGGAAAGGCTTTTATGAGAAAGCTGTTAAGCGAATATTTAGCCATTCTTCAATATATATGTAACTTTAAATGTAATAAATAATACTAAATTAAATTTGAATGGATTTAGTAATGAAAAGGAATAAAAGACAATGGAAATCAGGGAAAATGGAAATAAGTAAATCTTGTTGGACAAAAGAAGCTACTTAATGACTACAATTATATAAAAATAATCTTTGCATCTAAGATAAATGAATATTATTGGTTTGCCTCAAAAGAACACTACAGAGCTAAGTAATGGAAGCTTATTTGACAACTTCAATCACTGTTTAGTCCCCAGAAAAGTAGAGACTCAATCCAGTGTCTTATTTTACTATTAGATAGTTAATCTGGGGTAGTTACTATTTGCAATAAATATACATAAGATTTTTAAAAATATAAAAATAAATTTATTTCAAATATTGAAGAGACAAAAGCCTTGCTTGCTTCTTGCCATCCTAGTTGGCAATCTAGTGGAGAAAAAAAAAAAAGAAATTTCATTTTACAAAAAAACTCTTGACAATTTCAAAGAAATCCCTTTACTGAAAAGATAATTCAGTTACTTGGGGGAAACATGATTCCTTGATTATATTAGTATACTAGGGGCCCAGTGCACAAATTCATGCACCCTGAAAGGATCTGTGGGCCACGAGGCTGCAGTGGACACAGAGGCCCATCTTCCATGCCCCTGCCTGGACCCACCCGCCACAGCCTATGATCTCCTGTCTGCTGGTCCCATCCCACCACTCCCACATGCTGACAGAGCTTGCCCTGCTTGCACCCACTCACGGCATGAGAGATTGGGGCTGGTGCCAGCAGCAGGTGCCAGCAGGGCTGGCGCTGTCAGTGGGTGTGAGCCGCAGTTACTGCCCCGATTGCCCCTCAGGAGCAGGGGGAGGTGGAGAAGCCCTCAGGGGTGATCAGGGCCAGCAGCCGCTGCTCACACTCACTGAAGGTGCCAAATATATATAATGCTTTTTCCTATACATATATAACTATGATAAAGTATAAATTAGGCATAGTGAGAGATGAACAAAAATAGCTGATGATAGAATAATTATCAGTAAGAGGTGTGCAGGAGGCAGCTGATTGATGCTTCTAACTCTCTATCCCTCTCCTTCCCTCTCTGTAAAAAATCAATAAAAATATATATTTTTAAAAATACTTGAATGGGAATCCAGTATAGAAGGACTTGATTAAAATAATTTTTAACTCAACTAGAGTAGAATTTAGCAAGTTATCTTTAAGGCCTACCTGAAACCAAGCAAGACTGCTAGGTAGGAAAATCTGTAGAAATCCTGTTTCACCTGCACTTTGATAGAAACCTAGATCCTGTTTTGATCTGTGCTCCGTAAGGTATCACACTCTCTGCACCCACCCTTTTCAGGGCTCCCTGTCCTACCTTTCTCTGCCTCTAACCATGCATCTCCGGAGGTCTCTGCTCTCCTGCCTTTTCCAAGGTGACTGTGAGCTAATCTGATCGACTAAGCCAGGCCAATGTTCTCACCAAGGCTGACATATTAGTGTCAGATGTTTTAACCTCTGCCAGGACTGTCCTCCCAACATCACATTGGACTCCTATAGAAAACAGTTCAGCCTTTTCTTTCTTATTAAAAAATGATTTTAAAACAGAAATGTCAGGATCTTACAGGGAATTCAGAACACATACATTATTTTTAATATCTCTATATCTTATATATACATTATTCCAGTTTGAATTCCATTATAGACATTATTGTGAATGGTCCATAATATTTTGACAACTTATGTAATATACCAAATCCAGCTTATAAACATAATATTTAGGCAAAGAATCACCATGATGAGTGAGATTATCTTTAAAAAATTTGCTAGCTCTTAATGTTAGGTGATTCTAAATAGCATGTATAGTAGTCAAAAATATGCATTTAAAATGGATACTATAGTTAAAGCTATTTTTTTGCAGTTAATAGATATATTTAATGAGAAAACAATGAGAAAAATCTTACTTCATTCTCATGATGGAAACTGTAAAATTTATTGTATTAGTAATCACCTCGCCCTAGCCAGTTTGGCTCAGTGGAAGAGTGTCAGCCTGCAGACTGAAAGATCCCGGGTTCAATTCTGGTCAAGGGCAACATATCTAGGTTGTGGGTTCGATTCCCAGTGTGTGGCATGCAGGAGGCAGCCGATCCTTGATTCTCTCTCATCATAGATGTTTCTGTCTCTCTTCCTTCCTCTCTCTGAAGTCAATAAAAAATATATTTTAAAAAATAATCATCTCAATGCATGCAATATAGCAGAAAAATGAAACTAACTGAAAAATATATTTCACCTAATTTAACAAATATCAACAAATCTCCTGTGCTCTTTTCTTTTAAAAAGATCATTTCTATTTCATTAAATTTCAAAGTAACCTTCTGAAGCAAATGTATGTATTATTATTCCCACTATAAAGGTTAAAACAAAACAACCAAAATATATAACATTAAGGAAAAAGCTGGAGAACATACAACTCATTTAGTGTTTGGATTAGAGATCTGAGAGTGTTACAGTGTTGAAAGTAAAATTCCCTCTTAAGCCCCGGGAGTCAAACCTTCAAATATGAAGTGCAAGAAATCACCACTTCTTTCCTTCAGTTTTCCTTTCACTCAAAGGAAGGAATGAAGAATTTAAAATTTTAAAGCTACTTCTCTATGCATTGTTCCTAGAATTATCAGATTCAAAATTGCATGTTTATCCTGAATTTACATTAGTGAAGATGTCTCCTGCAAACAAATCACTTTAAGAAGGAAAGAAACACATTATTTGTCTTTATAGTAAATTATTACTTAATGTTACTTGCAATATTTTAGAAGAACACACAATATACATACAGTAAAATCATTATTCTTTCCCTGAAGGTAGATTTTTAGAAATTATCAAGAAGAATATTGGTGACTCACAATTTGGTTCTCTGTGCCTGGTGTTCTTGATTATGCTCAGTGGATAAGAATCCCTGGGGATAGAACTCCTCTTGACCTTGGACAGGTTTAAGCACAGATTTAAGATCCCTGGATACTGATGACCCCTGCAGAAATAGCTCTAAATAGGTAATAGGATTGACATAAGAGAATTAACAAGCCTATTCATTAATAGTAGGGCAAAACCAGACAAATATGCTGAAAAAAGAGCTTCGGGTCCTGTGGTAAATGCAATCTTTGTTTACTTAGTTTATGTTTGAAGAAAAAAAAAATTTCTCTTTTCAGCATAGACTGATCTATTCTTGCCATTTCTGAAAGAAAAATATTAGTTTTTTTTTTATTAAGGAATTTTTCTTGATTTAACTATAATAACTATCCTTCTCAACAACATTTGGCATGGTTACATTTTCCCTCTAAAGTTCAAACAATTACTTTCCTCTCTTTTTTTGGTGCCTTGAAATGTCTCATAATAAAATTTCTGCTGATCCTTATTTTTGTTTGTTTGCATGGTTTGGGGGAAAATACTGGAAAAATTTGGATACAGTCTTTAGCACTGTGGATGACCTCTGCTTTATTGTATCTTTTTTGGCCCTTGTTTGTTCCATTATGCTGC